ATGAGACAAAATAAAAGGCCATGGCCTTTTAATATGGATTTTACAGAATTGCCTCTGAGGTGGCCTTCTATTTAGGGTGCCCTTCTAATATAGGGTGGCCTTCTATTTTGGGGGGGGGTTTAGGACAGTGTACAATTTATGGTCAAGATTGTCTCGATGAAGAGTAAGTCTAATATGCTTTTCGTTAGTCAAAAGTTCAAATATTCCCTACTTAGAAAAATTTTCTTGGTATTTCGGTTGGTCAACAACTACGACGTTTCAACGGGGCACATTCTCGTTTCATAATAAGCAACTAATCGAATTTCCATCATCCCCTGCAACAGAAGTACGATGCTCAAATCTAAAAATAATCTTTTTCGTATTCCATGCCACATGTTTCATAACTTCAGTATATATTCGAGAATAGCAAGATCAAATTCCTAGTTTCAAAAAACAGCATGTTCATATCACCAATGGATCAGTAGTGATTGAGATGTATGTGCAGTTTCAAAATGATTGATTTTGCACGATTGCCCAAAGTCTTTCTTCGACCCGAATTGTTTTAAATTGATCAAATGGTATCGGACTGAGTTTAGATAGTTCATTGTAGACCTCTTTTGAATAATATTTTTCTAGTCGAGAAGCAGCCTCTAAGATCAGTGGTATTGAAAACTTCATCATCGCAATACGTATATAGTAAGCGAATATGATACCATTTTGATTCTCTGATGCTGTACGTTCATCGTCACTAAATTTTTCATCAGCTGGTGCGCAATGACAGTATTGAATAAGGCGGGCTGTTGGTTCATCTAATGTTTTTCCTTCGACCAGAGACTGAGTGAAAATGGTTCGATGATTGTTTTTCACATCTTCATGTAGATCCTAGCAAAAATGATTCAACGATATATCGAAAGAACCAATGCAATTCACTTGTAAATCATCGAGCAACTGTAAAGCAAACCCGATGTACTCTAAATAGGCCAGTCTAGCTCTTGTCATTCGGCCTTCTACCAAAACTCCGGCTGCAATCAATGATGCACCTTCCTTTTCAGCGCTGACTTGCTCAATTTTTGACATTGTTTTTTTACTATTTTTACTATTCGATCGGCATATGGTTGCAATAATGGCGATAAATTTAGATCAGCAGTGTTCGATGGTTTTCCATCAAAATGAGCTTTGGGATCATATTTTGATTCGCCAAAAAGTAGTCGCTCATGAAAAATCTTAGTAAATTCTTTTTTCGCCTCTCGTGATACATCATTACTGTCCACTAGATTATCAGTGTAAGGATAGAGCATATTATAATCAAAGATGGAGTCTGTCAAGCCTAACGGTAAATTAAGTTGTGTTTGGAAAGCAATCATAAACCAGACAACATGACCAACCTTAAATAACTCTTCATAAGTTATTGTCGAATCATATATTTCACCTTTGTTAGTAAATTCAGTAGTGACTTGACCGAGGCATTGATACATGTCAAAGAGAGATTTGGCTTGTATGGACGGTAGATTAAATATTTCATTCCAAATACGCCAAGACTAATAGGTGTATAAATGTATGAAATAGTAGATTTGATTTTTAACATAGAAAATTTTTATTCTTTTCCTAAGTTCTCTCTTGTTATATGTGTTATATGATGAAATCGATGATTGTATGTAGATCACCATTGAAAGAAGTAGGAAAAATTGAA